GAGGAAATCGAAGGAATCGATGTCGTCATTCAGAACATTATGGGAAGTTTTGGGATCTGCGTGCTAGGGCCTAGGGCCATGCAAGATATTTTTAAAAATACACTGAAAAAAGTTTCTGGTTACATAGACATACCGTCCGCGTTCCGGGCTCAGAGTGCGTAAGTTCTGGGTGCTGGAGCCGTAGCTGCGATTGCTCCAGGTGGTACGCCGGGAACTTTTGGACTCTGAGCCCGGAACGCGGACGTTATGTCTGAAGAATATATGTATATCTATAGCCCGTAAGTACGGCTTCCAAAGCCGGAGTTTTTTTCAGTGTGTTAGCCTGATACACTTTTTTCAAAGTATCAAGGACATTATTGAACTCTTTCAAACTTTATAAAAAAAAAGAAACTCATTGATACGTTGGAGGTTAAAAGCTCCTGTTATTAAAGTTTTGACTGGATATGACAGACTGGACCCTGAGGAGACTAGGGACGCCCCGCCTTAAAGAGCTGAAAAATCTGGCATTCCATACCATGCGAAGTAAAAACGTAGATGTCCCTGGTAAAAATTGGCGATAGGAGCTGCGTTTCAAAATACCATAGGAGCTCTTACAGCCGACTGAAAAAGGCGATAGAACATCATATAGCTGGCTATAGAAAGTGGAAAAAATCATACGGCCGGGCTACACGAAGCGATAAAAAATTATACAGCCGGGCTATAGTTCCTATCGCCGGACTTTACACTTTATCGCCTGGCTGTTGCTTTTTCGCCATCAGCTATAAAAGGCTATCAGAAATTGTGTAGAAATTCGTGTGCTTTGGAAATCCTTAAGTTTGTATGGAATCACCCTAATATTTACAAAACGCAAATTATATTTTCCTTTACTACATATTTTTTTCCATCAATTAAAATGAGAATAATCCATACAGAATGCGCAAAAATTTCAAAGTCATGAGTTGAATAATGCTGACTCTGCCAGATTAAATATTAGAGCCTAACACAGCGAAGCGGCGGCACACTGGCGCCTACAAACCTAACAGGGATACTTCACGCATTGCGCAATGCGTGAAGTATCCCTGTTAGGTTTGAAGGCGTCAATGCGCGTTTCGCGCTGGTTGCCCGCCCGCCGCGCCGCGCCGCAGCGTACCACGGCGCTTGAAGCAACTATTTCACACCAGAGGTATTGCACAGTATCATACGAAATTGCAGGCGCTCCAACATGTTAGGAACGGCAGGCATCCTTCAAAAGTACGGAACTTTCCTCGCAAAATAAATCAAGATACTACTGCCCAAAAAGAGAGCGGTATAGTCCAATAAGTCCTAGGATCCGTAATTAGTAACGTTTAGCATACACTTTATCGCCAGGCTGTTGCTTAGTCGCCATCGGCTGTAAAAGGCTATAAGAAATTGTGTTGCCGGCTATAGAAGCTATTGGAAATCTTACGGCCGGTTATAGGTCGATGGTATTTTGGAACACAGATTCTACTGCCAATTTCTACCAGGGATTCCATATGAACGAACGTTTTGCGTTCAACAAATTAAACTTTCAGTGAAAATCTACAATGCAAGTAAAAGAAATCGAGATATTTAAGACATTTCCCTAAATTACTGGGCTCGCTTCAAATTTTTGGCGAAGAAAAACTGGATCCCATATGCTCAGAGGTAAAATTGAGGGATAAACAGCGCCCGATATTGGATGTTAAGTGAATGCAAGTGAATCGGATGGATTTTATAATTCAGTTTGGCAACAGCGGTGGGAATCGGGTCAAATCACGGGCCGATTGGGTCATCGCGGGCCAATCGGAAGCGCGTTTTCGCCGCGACACCTATGTAAACAAATGCGCGGGACGTCTCCAGCACGGCTGCAGCCAGCGCAGTTGTCTCCCGTTAGTTTTCCTGCCCCCCTCCCCCTGTGCCGTACAATATTTTCCAGCTGCTCCAAATTTTGCGCATGGAAAAAAGAGGAAAACAGCTGCAACCCGAGCCACTAGACAAAAAAGAACTGATCACCAGCTGCGGTGTGACAAGATCATTCACCTATAATAATAAAGATGGATGCACAATCCCTTCCGCGGATAAAAGTGAAGCCTGAAATTTCCACATAAAAGAGGAAATATAGTACTATCAAAAGATTCTCATGGGAGGGGGGGGGTGTACACAATTAAAAAAACATTCGTATATCCTCGTATAGATAGTATTTTTTTGGGAAAATTGTCGGCCCTATGGCCCTCCATTGCCTCCTCTTTAACGTCTTGAATTCAATCCTTCGACACAAGAAACAAGAAACAAATACACGCTAATAAAACGTATTTAATACGGAACTGTGCATGTCTGTTTATTTTGCCATCCTTAATGCTGCAGATAAAAAATACACTGGAAAAAAAACCGCATTGGATCTAAAGTCCAGACTCTTAAAAACATCGACAAGAAAAAATACTCTTGATTCGATCAGATTTAAGCTTAAATCAAGAACCAAGCCTCTTAGTTTGAGCGGATTTCCTTTTGATTTAAACTTAAATCTGATTGAATCAAGAGTCCTTTTTCTTGTCAATGTTTTCAAGAGTCTGGACTCTAGATCTAATGTGTTTTTTCCAGTGTATCTAAACATCATTAAACATCATTAAAAATATCCAAATATCATTCGATTGGAATTTATTTAGTTAAACAACGCGAGGGTTAGCGATTAGATTAGACGAATTGCGATTTGATTGTCCTTTGCCAAGAATCTGTGTTTGCAAGCGGCATGTCTAAACTTCTCGGCGACTCTGTCTTGCTGAGGTGTGACTGTGACAATGTGACATGAAGAGAGCGAACTCCCTCAAATTTAATTTGAAGTTCCTTCATCTAATTAAAGGCGGAGCGGTGCGCGGCGGTAGCACTCTTGTCGAACTTGATTTGATTCTACAAACTTTAGTTCGAGTTTTCATTTATACAGTTTTGTAAACATCGGTGTTATATTCTAGACACATTTATTGGCATTACGTCGCTTGTCTGTCATCATTGACCCACCGACCGAAGACTGAAAGGTACAAAGTAATGGGGGCTGGAGTATGGTTGGTTGGTGGATACGTTTATTTGGTGCTTTTAATTAACATCTGAGCCATTAACACCTTAGAGAAGAGATCAACATGTATGCCTCTCAAACTTCATTCTGAAGGAAGAAAATGTGTTTCACACTCGATTACAAGGGAAAAAATGCCTCAATTTATGGAACTTTAAGTGAAAAGAAAATTAAAAAAACTATTCTCCAGTGGAAAAGAAAGAAAAGTTCTAAAATATTCTAAATTTCTAAAATATTTTCATTAAAGCTAAACTTTCAGAGAAAACCGCAAGATAGTAGAATAACAGGTGTTTTTCGCCAGTCACAAAGATTAATCACTTTCATTAAAAATCACTGTGATTTTTCAAGCCTATTGCGATAGCGGGCACACCGCTATCCAAGTAAGCGTGCCATTTCACAATGATACCACTATTCGATCATGTATGAGCTAATTTTGCCTACGTCAAAAATTGAAGGCGAACTGACACGGCGTTAAATTAAACTCTCCCCGTCAGTTAAAGCTATGCTTCGTGCGGGAGGTCACGGAAACCATGGGGAATTTGGATGAAATAAATACACCAGGAATCATCATAGTCAATAAGTGTGTGCTACACACCTAAACACGAATGAATATGACTAGAATCATCATTGACCGACTGTCATTCATTACGTGATGGTTTGTACCTATGTCCTTGTTATCAATAAAAACAAGTTTGTATCAAACATTGGAGTAGTAAACAGGTTTTAAATTTAGTTTTTCTTTCTGTTTTCTGTACCTGATCAAAATACTCTAAAACGGTACTCTAAAATTTATTTAAAATACTCTAAAACAGAGCATTTTTGAAGAAATATGCCTACTCATATTTTCAGGACATTACCCGAAGGGCATTTTCATCAAGATGAACTTCATAGGCGCTGTGGCTGGGCGGCCCAACGTTTTAACCGGCCAACAGCTTGCAATCCCGCGATTCAAAAGAAGCGTTACACCTACGTTATACAGGTAGAGATGACCTTCTTTTGAGAGAAACTCCGCGGTCAATATTCAAAATTATTGGTCCGTCAGAAATCGTACTTGAAGTGAATAAGATTTAGAAGTATAAAATAAACTGCACGTTTTTTAAGCGGATTCAGAAAGACTTGTGGGGACGGTATGTTACTTCAGCAAAAACTATATTTTCCGCGACTTTTTCCATCATTTTTTAAAGCGTGTGAGACCATTGAAAAGCTGAACATATACTTAATTAACGAAAAAGTTGATACGATACTTATCAATAAAATTAGTCTCTGAGGAGGAAATTGAGAGGCTCCTTTCCTATTCGCGGTACCGCGAGGCGGAGAGGTAGTTAATCCAAAGAGAACGGAACCCAAATATAGGTACTTTAACTCCTTACATTAGTCACATCTTTGCAGAATCCAACGCAATGAGTGACTTGGTACATAACAGGTAGATGAATCATCAGTTTTTGCGCAGGGCAGCACGAGAACTGACAAGTCCCAACTTTGAGGTTGACAAAACTCATGCTGGCCCAACTTCACTCCCAGTTCATCACTCATTAGCGTCAAGCTGGATATACTGACGCAATGGTCGGATTGACACGTTCGATTCGTAAATATCAAACTTTCACAATGGGTCACTGTCGTTATGGCTTCTCCATTCCTTATACGTCCTTGCTCTAGGAATTTTATCTAGAACCATCCTGGTTCTCTGAACCCCTTGCAATTTTTTTCACTCATCTCACGGTTTGATAATCTCCCTCAGGTTTCATATTAGGGGCGTGGACGATGCGTTTGCAAAATCGACCTGGGGCACGAATTGAGGTTATGTTATCGAAATGGACCCATCCCACCGTATCCTCCCCCGCCCACCTGCGCTGGGCCTTAACCTCCAAACTTTTTACGTCACCAGCTGTAACACCTCGAGCTTTCGCTCGACGTTGGGGTTGGGCAGGAGGAATACTCGTAAATGCGTGGAACTTACTGGCAAGAGCTGAGGGCCAATCGAGTGAGATGAGGCAGAGAAACGCGAAACACCACGAAGCTCCGCGCATCATCGCATGTTTTCCAGGGCGGAGCTGAGAGTGTCCGCGAAAACACAACACAAACACTGCACTGTCCACTGTCGTTGCACAACCCGGGTACCCGTTGAGAGCGATAGCGGAGTCGACGTTCACTCGCTGGAACGAGTCACAAACTGTCGTGCATTCTGATTCCGAGCCATTCAAGCTGTAAAACTCAGCTGAGCCCGCCGAGGCAACTTACAAGCTCCGCGGATAATCTCTGTTGCCGCTTCGAGCAGATTATCTTCAAAATATTGATTTTTTTTTTTTTTTTTTTTTTTTTTTTTTTTTTTTTTTTCCCC